CAGTTAGCAAGATCATAAATGATTAGATAACATGTTGTTTGTGGTTTAGTACTTCTAGGTGAATGCCACCCACTCACTGCCAGCTGTTTGTAAGTCGTGCAGTCATGGTTTTACTAAACGAGTAATGATCAGTGTAAACCCTTGAATTTGTGACCATACTGGGATTTAAAATCATGGCATGCAACACACTCACTCATTTGTGGTGTGTCTCTGAGTTAAGGTGTCATACCACTTAGCAGTGCACATGAACATCAAAGAGAACTTAAAACTTCTAGGGTTCAAAAAGTCACTCAATACTGGCATTTTCTTGGGTTAAGCATGCTGCACGTTCACAGTTAAATAATGGCTAAACTTTTGGATTGTTACCACAGTGACTTATTCAGTCCTCCTAGGTGTCACAAACTTAAAATGGAACCCCCCCCCCCAATGGCTGCATGTTATCTACATGAATTATCTGATGACAAGTGTTGAAGGAAGCATTCCACTTCAAATCAGATTATATGGAAACCAGACAAAAGCATACCTAAAGCTTAAGTATTTTTATGCCGTGACGCTGATACACATAGTCTGCTTAAGTTAAAGTGTTGTATTTTGCCGCGTTAAATATATTTTGCCTACTTTGAATGCTTTTGGAAGGCTTTCAGAGCAGAGGGTTTGCCTGGTGATAGCATGGAGAAGTTTTTTTCATCTTATGTTTTTGCTACAAGAGTTCCTGTAACTCTGTTATGTAAAGGTCGCTTCTGGCAGGCTGGGTTCAAAGTAGCACATCTATCGCTGCTGTAGTTCAGTCATTTCCTGTTTTTAATGTAGGACACTCATCATGCTGCTCTGCAGACTGATTGTAATAAAACAAAGAAAACTGTATGCTCTAAGACTGCTTTTATGTGGCGAATTGTTGCCTTGTACATATGTTAGCAGACATGCAAAATATAAACGTCAGATGATTAGCAAACAAGGGCAAGTACTCAGCTCATCATTAACACTCAAACCACAAAACTTCCTTTTCTCATGCCATAAGCAGAACACAGTCACCAAAGCCATTTTAACTAGGTCTCCAGTGCCACCTACTGGTTATTAGTGATGTTGTGGTTCTTTAAGTCTTGACCAATGGTGACATCTGGTGTTCATTTATTAAACTGCATGTTTGGCCTGTGAGGTTGATGAGTGGCACAAACAAACAAACATTTTGAGACTTTTTAGTCAAATTGATAAAATTTTTTCTAAATGTACTAAGAATTTAAAATAAATGTATCAGCATGTTTTGGTATGCTTTAGTGCTAATAAGTGTTGGAATACAAATATAAATGGAATGTTATGTTTATAGAAAACATAGCCTATCAAAATAATTAAAGGAAAATAATTGGAATTCCGATGTTTTGTGCATTTATGTGTCAGCAGTTACTTTGTGGCAAACCTCATGGGGGGATATACACTTTTTTTGGCTTGTAGCTTTTCTTCCAAGAAATGATTAAAAATATAAAAAAACGTTTTCTGTTTTAATTCTTTTCATTTGTCTGCATCACAGTCATTAAAGGTCCAAGTTATAAAATCGATGTAATGGATTAAAAAGTAGAGTGGTACAGTGCGGCAGTTATTTGCACTTTTATGCCACAGCAAGGTGTTCAAATCTACTGGCCTTGGTCAACCCAAGCATGTTAAGTTGACTGGTGATTCTAAACTGGGTGCTGGTGTTAATGGTGCTCTGTCTCTCTCTGTGTTAGCGAGTTATACAGCCAACCTGTCAAGGCTATACCCCATTTCTTCCCTTTTTACTGCTGGCATAAACTTCAGCTGCACCCGGACGCTGAACTGGATAAGTGGGAAAAAATGGATGGACGGTGTAGAAAGTGCCAAAAGTGTCAAATACTCAAGTAAAAATACTTCAGAGTAAAATACTTCTATACCTGGAAGTAAGACGGTAGTACTATTTTGAAGCTTTCAAAACTTTTGTAAGTGATAGAATTAATCTAAGTAAGTAAATACAATGTCATGAAAGTTCCTGTGTAAGTCCAGAAGGGAAAAGCACTCAAATGGTATGCCACCTAACTAAAAAAAAAAAATCATCCATCAACTCTGGGGCTGAAGCTCAGCACGAGAGACAGGGTACACTGTGGACAGGTTGGCAGTCTGTCGCAGGGCTAAACAATCCAGGAAAAAAATAATAATCAGCGAATAACAATCTATTTTCCACTTTTAGACTGCAAGAGCTCTTCAGCTAGCAATCTATGAATTTTAAACCAAAAAACAAACAAAAGATTATATCTCTATTTTCCACATTTCCTGGCCAAGCTACATAGCCCTGTAGTGGAGCGAGCAGCCAAAATATTAAACTCACTCTGTTATGTACAAGTTACAAAAAGACTCAGTTATAACTGTGTTATAATTCAGTGCAGCATCCTAGTTTGTTTTGACAGCAGTCTGTAAGTGTCTGGGAACTGTAGAGACCAGCTGCTGGACTTCTGCGAGAGGAATTCTTGCCTGTTTTGGGACTCTAGTTGCTCAACTGTCCAGGGTCTTTGTAATACTTTTCATTTCATAATGGTCCAAATGTTTTCAGTTGGTGAAAGGCCAGGGCTGCAGGCAGGTCAGTTCAGTAAACAGATTTTTCCACAAAGTCATACTATTGTGATAAAAAAAATACTTCATCTGGAAGGGAGTATATGTTGCTCTAAAAGCTCTAAAATATACCTTTCAGCACAGCTGGGGCCTTACAAGGCATACAAGCTGCCAATTTCATGTATCCACATACCATCAGTTATGCATTCAATGTTACATTTTGTATTAAACGTGGGACATTGTCTAGCTTTAGACATATGATATATTTTCTGTGTTCTATTGTGGATAAAATATAGGTTAATGAGATTTGCAAATCATTACAATCTGTTTTTATGTTTTACAGCATCCTATTTTGTTGATTTTCTGTATATGTATATGTGAGTTTTTCACATAGTGCCAAAAACGGTGTGCTTTAGTAAACAATATATGCAAAAGCTTTGTTTCATAGCCTTAAATCCTCGACCACTTCGTCTACGCAAAATATTTTATCTAATATGAGATGAAATACACAGTTGTGTATATCAAGGGTGTAGATTTGGTTTTGGCATTGGTGGGGACGGATGATTCAACCACCGAACACTGCCCCGTTTCTTTTCTTCTTTTTCCTTATCGTCTTTGCGTCTTGATAAAAAAAGGAGAAATATACTTGCCTACATATGCTATTTTACATGCTTTTAAACCATTTAAAATTTCAATTCATAGTTTTATATGTGAATTAGTTCAGTTCATTTTTATTTTAAACATGTACATTCACAATCATTACAAAATATCATTCCATTTTTTTGTTTGAAAAGGAGTAGACAGAAGTATACACTTATTTGTCCCGACCCCTCTCATTAATTTAATTTAATTTTAGTCTTAAATTAAACAAAAATATGAATATTAATTATATAATGTAAAATTACTATTAAACAAACGACTAAGTATTTTAGACTTTAGTTTACTTCAGCCATATTCCATATAAATCAGGTATCATACAAAAATAAAATTAGCTTCAAATACAGTAATGACCCACCAAGTCATCATCCAATTTCACCTGTGATCTTGTGTCACCATTGCTCTCTGAGCTTTGTGTTGGTTCTTCTGTCACCTGACAAATAGGACATACATGACAATAAGAATAAAATGTGTAGCTGCTTCAGTGTTTCTGTCAATTTGTGCAAAAATATTTTCTTATATCTATGTTGTTCCTTTTTCTGCCATCCTCCTCTCCTCCTTGCAGGTCCTTGCAGCGCAGGCTTGCCGCTGCTAAAACTAAACAGAGGTCCCTGAAAGGCACAGCCAATCACATTGGCCATATTTGTCACATGAGGTAGGACTCCAGGAGAGAACGTAATTTAACTCTTTCTGCACCGCTAGGTGAATGAGACGTTGACAGATCGTTTTTTTTTCTTTCTGTCGGTTTTGTTTTTCTTTACTCGAAGCGATCAAATTATTGGTGGGGACAATTCAATAATCGCTGGATACTGGTGGGGACATGTCCCTTCCGTCCATGCCAAATCTACGCCCTTGGTATATATTATTGTTATATTGTTATTGTATATATTGTTCTTAATTATTTGTAACAGTTTTTTTTTATTACAAAACAGTAGAAATTCGCATAAATCTAAACACTATGCTTAAATTAATAAGCGTAAGTTAAACACATTGAATATTTTTTGACATATTACAAAACGAATAAAAAAATGAAATAGTTGACTATGGCGACAACTAGCGGTTAAATATATATAGTACAGCTGTACAAAAAGTATTATCTAAATAGGGGATTGCCTGAGAGCAGCCATTTAAACAGTCACAGCTATAGAAGATTTACAATACAAACCCAGAGGTTTTTTCCTTGGAAACTGAAAGAAACCTATGAGATATTCTTAATATATTGCTAAAAAACCCTTTAAGATTAGCAGTGTAATGAAGGAATAGTTTGATTCTGCGGTTTTGCTACTTATTAAGGGCCTAGGAAGCAATTTTCCGTCTTTCCGAGAATCTAAAGAGTCATACTGAAAACAGATGTATGTGTCAGTCAAGATGTACATAAAAGGCACAAATGTTTTCATTTAGGCCTTTGTGGATTAAAATATTAAAGTGGAATTAAATACTGAGCACAGTCAATAGTAACGAATAAATACTCTTTAAGATTCATCACCGAGGGGAAAAGATGGGGCTGGAAAAAATAGTTCACTTTCTGTCTGTGAAGCATGACGATCCCTACCTTTTGGTGGTCATTTATTCATGTTTTGTTTTCTGTGCATATCGCGTTTCTTTATAATTTTCTAATGAATAGCACGCCAAGAATTGACAGAGAAAGTTGCATTGATTTCCGATTTCATATCTGTTAAGTGATGTAAGCTCCAGCTATTCCAGTTACATCAAGGCTGTAATGAAAAAACAGAACTGCCATATGGGGCGAAATGATGCGAGTATGCAGATTAAAAGAAAAAACTCACCTCAACATGTGCCTCCATCAATATATTCCGCATAAAAGATGAAAAAAAAAATCCATCCATATATGAATTAAAGCTCGAGTGGATTTGAGCAAAGAATGAAGCAGTTAGCTTGTGTGTTCGGTTTCACTTTTACTTTGCTCGGCCCTTCAGGCACAATTCCTACGCAAGACTTACCAGTAACTCCCATTTGCGGTCAGTTTTGTTCTTGCAGCTTCCCGAATCCAGCTTCTTATATACAAACAGTCCAGTCGATATTAATGATTTTTACGTTTTGTAATAAAATGTAAAACAATTACACTGGTTTACATTTAAATCGTGCCGTCGCATCTGAATTGAAAGCGAAATGCTGGCGGACTTTCCCCGGAAACTGATGACGCTTCATTTTTTTTTTAAAACGCTTATTTAAAAAACGCATAAAACTCTAGCTAACACCGCGGCCTTTTAAAAGACGCGCACAAAATAATTAATTAGCAGTTAACTAATTATTGCATGTCAACGTTGAAATGTGTCAACAAAAATATGTACAAGCATCTTACATCACACACTGTGTCCTCACACAGCCCCACGTAGCCTAAAGGCGTCTCATTGTCGCAGTAATAATAGCCTACTGCTGCGACACCAAGGTTTCCTGGATCTTTTGTTTTTGTTCGTTGCCTCCAAGCGCTGGTGAAAGCACGCACATTTTTTATGTCTTATTCAGAGATATGTATTATCTGATTATAGTGAGGGTGAATTAAAATGATACTTTATTAAATATCCATGTCCCTGTTCACACTGCTCTTACCCGTGGAACCTAAATTATTAAAAATAGTAAAATAGACTCATCTTAGTCTAGGTGGCGTTGTCTTTAGGTAGCAAAAAAATTCAACCAGTTATCCCACCCATTTACCACAATTAAATAGTTCGTACAGGGTCCAGAGAGACAGAATATTAGCACTATTTTTCTGTCATCACAAAAACGGAATTGAAAGAAAGGTCATACAGAAGTTGGGGAAACTATTTATTACATCACAGAAAGCTCAGCTTTTTTGTGCAGATGTAAAACGCAGTGAATAATAATAATAATAATAATAATAATAATAATAATAATAATAATAATAATAATAATAATAATAATTATTATTATTATTATTATTATTATTTTTTTTAAAAAGGATACACCAGTGATGCTTTGTGTTCATTTCATCTCCTCCTGCATTACCAGGTCTACCCAGCAGAAGTCCTCCAAGTCACCTCTCCTCTCTGCCTAGCTCAGGTTCAGCTGTCTAAATACAGCTTTTCAGAATCAGAATCAGAATCAGAATCAGAAAGGGTTTTATTGCCAAATGTTGAGCAGGTTTACAACATCAGGAAATTGCTGCGGTGCTTCAGTGCAAACATACTGTCATAAAAATATAAAAATAAGAATAAGAATTAAAAGTGCTAAGTGGGTAGATATATACATGATATATACATGAGTGCAGGTGGTGATCAGTGCCAAACATGGAATGATGCAGTGACACAGCGTAGGGTCATGTGTTAGTGGTGGGAACAGTCATACGGTTATTGTTCATGTGTCCGACAGCAGAGGGGAAGAAACTGTTCTTATGGCGAGAGGTTCTGGTGCGAATGGACCGGAGCCTCCTGCCTGAGGGGAGCAGGTCAAACAGACTGTGTCCAGGGTGAGAAGGGTCAGCTGAGATCCGAGCTGCACGCCGCAATGTCCTGGAGGTGTACAGGTCCTGCAGAGATGGGAGTCTGCGGCCAATCACCTTCTCAGCAGAGCGCACAACACGCTGCAGTCTCTGTTTGTCCCTGATAGTGGCTCCAGCGTACCACACGATGATGGAGGAGGTGAGGATGGACTCGATGATTGCAGTGCACCACAACAGCACCTTAAGTAATGTTTTACCCACCAGAGCAGTCAGTTGTACAGTAGGAGGATTTAAGCCATGGCAAAAGACATTTTAGAGTGATTAAAATCAGGCAACTCAAAGGATAGAAGCAGCTGGAAGAATTTCAGTAGGTGAATAGTGTTATCTGTCAGCAATACTACATTGCATTTAAGCATTGCTTTAAATAAGGTTTGTGCACATTCATCTATGCAGAGCTGTCCCTGAGATCCAGAAACACCATTTTAATCAGGTCGAGGTCTGGACATTGACCCTGTAATTGCAACACCTTCATTCTTTTGATGTGTTACTAAATAGAAGAAGCTTTCTCCTGGGCCTCCACATGAGGGAGTAATGCAGTGATGATTCTAAGGGCTTTATATATGTATACTAAATCATTTTTTCTGTATCAGTTGACTTGTTTCCAGGACAAATAAAGAGATTGAACCTTTGGCTCAGGCTTGGCTGTCCCCATACTGACACTCCTAACACGCAACACCACTGATATCTGAAGAAGGTGGGGAGTTCTTTTATGTCAAAAATGTGTGTAACTGTAGAAACCACACCGCCAGGAAATGTATTTTAATTCTAAACTATTTATTTTGTAATAACACGTTACCATTATTTGCCACATAGACAGAGGATTTTGGAGAAGTGTGCATTGTGCTGCATATTCTGCACGCTGCCTGTTGCAGGTGGTGAGAGATGTATTTGAAGTCCATTGGGACTCAGGATGGAGACATATCTGAATGCTCCACACCAGCAAATTTCCTAAATTTCTAGAGGTGGCTACATCTGCTGATGACAAGAAACATCACAATAACACAAGTAAGCTAAACAAACAAATACAGTACCGTTACAAAATAGTTCAAAATAAAAGACATAAAAGACAAAAATACTGAAAAGAAGGTTTAAAATGTATAACATGCTGTTTAACTGCAGAACGTCATGCTGCTTCATGATGTTCTGCAGCAATTGAATATCTGAAAAACAAAAAACAACAAACAAACCAAAAAATAAAAACATAGAGAAGCCAAACTATAATTTAGATTCTTTGAGCTGGCAAACAGATGGAGTCGCTTCATTTTCAGCCTCCTTTTCCTTTTCTCCTTTTCTCCTGCTAGAACAACAAGGTGTCATTTAGCAACAGTGGGGCATTAAATTTTTAACTGTGACAAAAATAGGTATTAAACATAAAGATTGTAGATATATTAATACCTAAACTTACCTGCATATCTGTGGCATTTGTGATATAGTCTCTGGCAAGATTTTTCCATTTGTTTCAGGCAACAACAAACATAAGACAGCACCACATATTGCTAGAACTCCCATTAGTATGTAGGGGAGTGCCTTGAATTCTTGTCCTGCAAATAGAAAATGCAAAATAAAATGGTAAGGACATCAAAACAAAAACAGACTATCTGTTGCTAGTAAAATAAAAAGAAGAAGAAATAAGCAAAAGTTATTTTTTTTCTTGTTAAAGAACATAAACCTTGACCTTTTAATACAACTTCAAGTCTGAAAAACAAAAACATCAATAAATACATAAATAAATAGAATGTAAACAAAATTATGAACTGAAAAATGTGCTTAATTTTCCAGAGTTCCAGCTGAACTGGTAGCATTGTTAAGCAGACAAATTGGAGAGAATAAGGGCAAAACTTTGGGATTTTGTACTATAAGTTGTTAAGACTTTTTCTCTGTATTATTGTGGAGTCTTTGCCTTACAATTGAGACAACTGTTGTTGTGAAATGAATTGAATGGAATTGGAAAGACAGAATAGTATTGACAGTAGCATTACTATGTAATAAAAGGTTAACTAAGCCAGCTAACTTTAAATACTTTGTTAAAAATAATCCTGGTAAAAGCCAAATGCCTGAAGAAGTAAAACAAACAAAAAAATCCTACCTAAGTAAATAATAAATGGGGAGATGATGGTCCCAATCCGTGCAGCCATGGAGCAAATCCCCATTGCTGTGTTTCTGATAACTGTGGGGAACAGCTCTGATGTGACAGCATACACCACACAGAATGCTGATGTGATGCCAAACTTTCCCAACATCTCAAGAAAAACAGCCACACCTGGTAAACCTATGGAAGTAAAAAACATTTAACATTACAGCACAACCTAAAAAGTCAAAAGAGATGCACATAACTAAGTATTCTTTCTAACTTCCTCATGTAGCTAAATATACCTTACTTAATCATTCGAGCTGTGCTAGTGCTAAATATTCATGAGCAGTCAATTAATATGCACTTTTAAACAATGCAGCCATGCTAAAGAGACTGCACTTAAGGCCTTTACACACAATACATTAGATCGGTCCAAATATTTTGTACGTTAAAATATCTGTTCTAATTCTCACCGACTGCAGAACTTCACTTGACGATTTGCCAGGATTTAGTTTAATGAACAAAAAACTTTTTTTCAGTTCCAAATAAATAGCTCTGACCAGTCAGGCCACTGCATCTGGCAACAGGTGCAATTGTAACTTAAAACGGACACTGTTACCGAGTATACAAATACTAAAAAAATACCATTTTACATCAGACGAACAGCTACAGTAGCAACTGCTCCGGGTCAATGGCCCTCTGAAATTATTTCTCTGCCTCCTCAGATGTAGTTCCAACTCTGTCAACAAGTGCTAAAACTGCTCAACTGCCCTATTTTGTCTCAGTACATTTTCTGGTGAAAATGCATTTGGAAAATTTAGAACTTTGTGTTTCTTTTTGCACGCGCTCAGTGTGTAATGCTCTTTAGACCCATGTCCGATTTGGTCACAGCGGAAGCTAAAAGTATTCAACTTGGTCAAATAACACGTCACATGCATTCTGAATACATTTTTATTTTATCAAGGTAAGTAAATGGGGTTTTGTTCCTGTTACATTTTTTGAGGACAAAGTGCAAACATTTGTTCATCCACAGTGTGAACTCATTAACAAGTGACTTGCTTGTAACACTTTAATCATTACCTATTGGAATGAGGTGGACACAGAGGATCATGACACCTCCGAGAAAGAGCGTGGAAGACTGGCAGAAGCGCCTGGAGCAGTACTTAAGCAGTACCAAGGCAATTATGTAAGCTGGAACTTCTACGACAGCAGACAAGAAGCTGTTTATGTAAGGGTCACCGTTCAGGTTGGAAGTGTTGAGGACTAAAGCATAGTAGCTGATGGTGATGATGATCCTGCACAGAAATTCAAAGCAAAACTTAATTTGACATAAAAAGCAATTATTTTGGTTTAAATCTTTTAATCTCCTAAATCATATGAGCAAATTCTAGATTTACCACAGAAGTGAACATATCAGTGTAATAGAGAATATATTGCAGCTTTTCACAATGACCAAAATGTTTTGCTTCTCCTCCTTCATTGTGAGTGCATCTTCAATCTGTGGCAAAAAATAGACAAAGTGGTACTTTGGTTAAACTTTGGATCCTGGACCTGCAGACTTCTGCATATGTGCTATAAAGCCATATAATGAATTTGTATAAAAAAAATAGGCTAACTTGAAATGCAAACCTAAGCCAAGAGACAAGCATAATCATGGTGCAAATGTCAAAGGTTTTAGTTTTATTCTAACCTAAGACACATTTCTCAAAACACATTCTGATTTAAAATCACCAACTTGCTGATGCACTTACCTCAGCTTGTGTAAAAATTGCCTGTGGCGGCTCTACTTTGTTCAGCTTTGCAGCGTGCTTCAGGATTGCTTCAGCCTCGTTTACTCTTCCTTGAGAGATCAGCCAGCGAGGAGACTCTGGGACTATCCTGAGCAGACAAACACAGTGGCAACATAATATTTTCAGAGAAACACAAACTTGATCATTAATCTGATAGTAAAGCAAGACATTGACGACATCCCTGCCAAAACATCTTGTTGAGTTAGCTGTTTGTTGGTTGAGGTTGAATAGTCGTTTTTGTTTAGGAACGATCCTAAAGTAGTGAAATGACCCAGTATCTGAATGGCAGCCATGACAAGAGCTGATTGATCTGTATAAATGTTCAGGAAAAGTGCTTCAGTGATTTCACTATTTGCGCATCTAGTGTAGAATATGCTGGACTATCCTTCACAAAAAGAAAGGAGATGATCATGTCCCACAGTTGAAGGCAGCACACCATTCATAAAAAACAAAACAAGTGATCAACATGACTGACAAGGAATTCAGATCACGTTGCAAATTTTGGGTCTGTTTACCATATAAGGCTGTAAATTTCTAATATGCTGACATGTTTTGGAGTCAGAGTTTAGCAAACTAACCGGAGAAACATCCGGCTGGCCTGGGCTACAGCTTGGAGGATGTTTTCAGTTGAGTTGATATTTTACTTATTGGCCTTTCAAGATGAAAATTAGCTATTAGCTAAATCTGGTAAAATGAACCTTTTCTCTTAGGGGATTAATGTTTTTGACAAGTTAAGTGGAAAAATGAAACAAAGAGTATGCAACATTTTTTCTATAAATTAGACAGTTTTAATACTGGCAATGAAAATATACACTGTTCCAAACATATGGTTTATAACAGTGAAAATGACAGTGTTACCCCCTACTGTATTTAACCTTAAACAAACAAACTATGAAGTAAAAGCTGGTGTTTTGCTATCTTGAACTATAAATTAATGTATTACCCTTCAATAAGAAATTATATCTTTTTCTTGAGTTGAAAACAACTTTCAGGACACAAGCCATAATGCAACAAATGAAAAAGTCTCACCACCACAGAGGGACGTAGATCAATCCACAGGCAGCCATTGGAATCAGCAGCAACCGCCATTCCCGGAGGAAGTAGGCTGCTCCAGGCATTGCCATGTACCCCAGTGCTGAGCCCATAAAAACTCCAAGAGAACAAAACGCCACTCTGGTTTTTGGGCTTAGAATTTCTGAACCTGTAAATGTCAAAAACAACATTTTGGAAAAGTTGTAATATCGTTATAATGAAAGTTCTGAAACTGAGCATTAGTGCAGTCTGTCTTACTGTCTTACTTATCAAATCAGATAAACCATTACGGTCTGGCATGAAACACAATGTAGTTTTTGAGGTTGTAACAAGAGCTGTGCATAAGTGATACATAGTATGTCTATATAACAGTTAGGAATTATGTTTGCTTATTTCTTGATTTCTTTATTCTTTCATTTAGGGCTTCCTAAATTTTATTGTACATCCAAGCAATTGACTTGTACTTCATGCACAGACAAAATTACTTAATGTCTGTGCAGCATAAAAAATCTCATTCCTTATTAGGAAAACATACCTAGCACAAATGCAATGATGTAGTTGGAGAATCCCCCAGCACCCACCAAAAAGAAAATGAAGGTGAAAATCTCCCAGCTCGGGGAGAATATCTGTGCTGTGATTGATACAGTTTGAAGCAGCATCATGATAAAGAGTATTGGTCTCCTTCCGTATCTGTAAGGAAACACAGTCTAGTAGACTAGATCAACACAAATACTGTTCAAACATTGTTGTGTGGAGTACAGACCTGTCGGACACCAGACCTGAGATCAACGCTCCCAGTAGCACACCAACATAATAAATGGAGCTGGTGAGTGGAAGTTTGTATGCATTCTCACAAACCAAGTCCCACTGCAAAATCAGTACATCGTTTTCACTCACTTACAATTTGTGGTATACATCTGCAAATCTGTCAACTAATAAAGAAATGACAGGTGACTCAGATCACAATTTAAATTAGTGGTAGGTTTTAAATCTAAGGTAATATGGTGATAAGTTCTGAAATCCCACTGTAGGCAACGGGGTCCTGCATGGGCTACATCTTGGAGGATGTTTTCATGATATGCTGATATTTTACTGACTGGAATTCTCAGTAACTAGTTGAAGACAAGAATAGAATAAGAACTCACAGCATCTATGACTTCTGAATATGTAAAGTAAGAGTAACTCTCCCACAGGTAGAACAACTTTTATTTTTTAATAGTTCCAGGTAATTGTTTGTGCAACAACACCAATAACTTCATTAATTTTTCATAATAACTATCAGTTAGTCTCCCCAGTTCGGGGAGAATTTAATCACACGTACAATTTGTAAAACACCTACTTTTAACTCATATACACATATACTGATAGAAAGTGAGAAAAAATCAGTTTATGTTTGGATAGTTATTGTTTTAGTCTTTTTATTTGCATGATGTAGAGGAAACATTGTGGTTTGATGTTGTTTTGATGCTTGAATGCTTTGCAATCACTGGGGAAAACAAGGAACTGTCAAACTTTATAAAAAATGTAAGTCAAAATCCTCACCTGTGGCATGAGAGAGATGTTTGAATAAGATGAAAAGGACTAATAAACTAAAGAGCATTAATCTTAAATCCATTGTAACTGTAATGCAACTTTAATTGACAGTAACATTAAAAACATGATGCAGGATGCTGCTGGTTGCTGAGTAAATTCAAGTGTTTGTGTGACTTCTTTCAGTTAGCATAATTCTTGAAACAGTCATCTTTAAGCAAGATTATATTTTAACAAGCATTTGTGTTTGTTTTTTTACGGCACTAATGTACAAATAATTACTTGCTCGACTTCTAGTTGCTGCTTAATTTCCCATTAATAATAATATCACACACCATGAACCCTGTGTATAAGAGTAGAAAATTAAAGTTTGGCATTTTGACCTGTTGTTGTTGTACCTGGTGGGCTGCCATAGTTTAGCAGTTTACATGAATTAGTTTTACTTTGCGTAATATCTTAATCATGTCATGGAAAAGTCTATGTAAAACTATCTTGTCTGAAATTCTTCACATCCAGCTCCATGCCAGGCATTTGACTTAAAAGCACATCTGGTAACACTGATAAGACTTTCTAGTTACTAGATTGGCAGATCAATGCTATACCTTGTGCATGCATGTTCTAGATAAAATCTATGATGCTAAATAAAATCATGACAAATTTCTCACCTCGGTAACAATAGTTGACTGGTAGATGCTTTTGCTGTGTAACCACCCATCTATACAACTCTCCCAAGGTATTTCACTAACGTTCACATCGACATTTGGGATAATATTGTTCTGAGAGTAGTTCCTGACCACATCCAAGTTAAGCCTTGAACAGGAACTCCGCTTTGCATTGCCACTAACAGTTTCCAATGGGATTGTCACGTTTTTCCACATCTCGCTGATGTTGTAGTTTTCAGGAATATAGCATTCGTGAGATGGAATAGCACCTATGAATACTATATAGCCACCAATAAATCCATTTGGGAGAATGCTTATGGCCAGTGCTAAAAAAATCCTGAGCTGAAAGGGTCCCCAAGATCCAAGAAAAGCTGTGATGGTGTCATAGTCTCTGATTTTTACCATATTCGTTACTTCACCAAAATCCTTCATACTTAAAAGAGTCAGTGCTGAATAGCCAGAAGATCGGATGAGCACTATTGGTCTAAGAGATTTCAGAGGTTGTGAACTGTAAAGCTGAGCTCAGGTTTTATATGCCTCACCTGATATGGGAGGTTACACAGTTACATAAAGTTTTTTTTACAACACTATTTGAGCTTTAGCACATGTTTTGTTGTGCTAAACAAGTGAATATCCTGTAGCTGAGGAGACTAGCACATTATGACCACAGTTACACAAGATTTTGAAAAGTATTTTATTTAGATTTTAATATTTTCAATGACTTTGATGTTTTCTTCACAGTAGTTTAGGTAAATTAGACATACCAAATACTGTGCACAGAATAAAATTTCAAAACAAAAACAAGTAAAATAGAACTTTTGAAATAGAACAGATACCATGACTTAATAAATTGGATTATTTCAGAATATTTCAGAATTATTTATTTTCATTACAAAGAGAATATTGCAAAGGTTTGAGGTGGGACCTTATCTTTGAATGCCCAAAAACCTGTGAACCATGTAACCAGGTTTATTGTCCACTACCTGGGCGGGTACATGCTGATGGGCCAGCATGCAAAAAGGGCTGGGAAACATAAAGTAGGCTGGATCTTAAAAGATGTTGGAAGCTTGAGATAGACAGCTGATGTGTTAATGATGCTGGGGATGTTGTAAAGAGAGAACCACAGTCTCCCCCTCCTGGACTGGAAGCAAAGACGGTTGACATCCCAATGAAGCTTCAAATGGTGAGGCGGTTAGTGAGCATACTTAACCTAAGGACCATGGGGCCTTCAGAAGGAGGGATTGAGGTAGTGATACAGCACAGGGCAGCTTTAAGCTCCCGATTAGCCCTTTCTTTTTGATTGTTGAACTAGAATCCTGAGAACAAGCTAACTTTTGTGCCTAGTACTTCACGCAAAAACAATATATAAATTGGGAATGTCTGTCTGTCTGAGAAAACGTGTGAGGGAATGCAGTTGGAATACAGAGGTGGCTGACAGGAGTGGTTGCAAAAGAGCTGAAGGCAGGAACGAGCCTTGCTTTTGAAACAAATTGAACAGGTTGCACATACTCTCTCTGTAGAGTGGGCTACCAAAGGTTAGCTAAGAGATGGTGCCACTTTAACCGGGGCACCAAGCAAATCTGATAATGTGCACCCAAGGCATCACTTGCATGTGAACGAAGGAAGGCGTGAATACATGGGTCGGGAACAGTAAGTAAAATCACAATGCAAGCCAAGAGTGAGTATGCTGTTTATTAAGTTAAGAAAATAGGGTCTTGGTGACATGATGATCTAGCAATGCATTTTTCTGAAGCATTACCTCTTGGGATGGCGTGGACACAGAGGATCAGGATGGAGGAGGAGAGCTGAAGACTCGGAGAAGGTTCTGGAGCATTACTGAAGCAGTACCAAGACACTTCTGTAAGCTGGAACCTCCCTCAGCAGATGAGAAGCAGCTTAAGTAATGGTTGACATGCTGGTTTGATGTGTTAGGGGTTGAAGTGTAGTAGTTAATGATGATGACAGCGATCCTGCTAAGACAGAGTACTCATAACGAATGAGTTACCCTAATTTAGTTATTTCAATTACAAAGCTTAGTTTTTTTTTTGAGGCAATGGGTTTTACCTTATTTTTTGAAGTTCTTGGAAATAATTAGATTTTACAGTGTAGAGACTTCAGAGTAAAATTGTAAGACTGGAAATGCAAAATACACAACCAAATATCAAACGAATTAGGTTCAGTTTCGAGACTTAAACAACCAAACGTTTGTACTGTATCTAGCTTATGCATATGACTAAAGTTTACATTTTCATCTCTTGGTTTTAATACTTTTCACATTATATGTGGAAACTGTACACATACCACAGAAATGTAATGTTTTTTTCTTCATAGACAACAAATCTTCAAGGTGTGGGGAGGAAAACAACAAGATGAAACTGTAGTTAAACTTTGGATCCTAGATCTGTAAATGAAACACGACTTCTGCACACATGGTACAAAGTGATATAATGAGTGACCTAACACAAACAGGCTAACCTGAAATGCAAACCTAAGCCAACAGACAACAGGAACTCGAGTCTCTTGGTGTAAGCAAGTCTTAACCAAATACTTTTCATATTCACCGGGAACAAAAATATTTATATTTAATATTTGTTTATAGAAATATTTGTTTAACCAAAAAAAAAAAAAAAAAAAAAAAGTCACAAAGCCCTCCTACAGCCTTTTCTAGCCTCTTCTGCTATATTACTTCCAGATGATAAAAAGGCCAAGCCGATGAAACTACATCATAATTAAATTATCTTTCATCTAGTTTTTAGAACCTTTGACCTTTTTAGCACCTTTGCAGATTGTGAAGATCACATATTCAAACAAACAACATATTTCCAAGACTCTTATTTTAGTTTGGGTCGAAATAGCCTCTGAGGGGCCTCTTACTTTATTCTTCTTAACAGCTTCTTCCAGAATGGCCTTTACGCTTCCCTGAGAGAGCAGCCAATGGGAAGACAACAATACTAACAATATAACTACAATATCTGACAATATCAATGTAACCAAACGATGACCTGGACACATCAAAGAAAAACTTAAATTGGATGTTAAAGTTTACTTTAAAATCACTTTAAAACAGTCACAAATTAAGCCATCACCATCGCTTATTAATTTCATATGATGGTGTTACCTTTATTTAGTAAATGGAAAAGGGACTGGATCTTATACAGTATTTCTGTTCTACTGGAGCATCAACGTGTTTTATACAACATGTCTCATTCATGCGTTGACACCCATTCAAACAAGCACTTTTTATTTTTTACAACTAAATGCTTTCTATTGAACATTAACATTTCAGATGCCAACTTGGGGTTCATTAACTTTCCCAAAGATGCTTTGACATCAAAACTTTGTGCTCAAACTACCAGCCTTCCAGTTACTGGATGACCAGTTCAACCTCCTGAGTTACAGCCACGACCATACACGTTGATTTTTTAAATATTATTCAACCATCTTGTTGCTGATTGACTTCAGTGTAACTGATTTGTTGCATCATCTAACCTTCTTAAGCATCAAGTCACAACCAGTTTCCCTGGAAAATATCTTGATGCTGCCTTGACAATTATAGTTTCTCTAAAGATAAGATAAGATAAGATAAGATAAGATAAGATAAGATAAGATAAGATAAGATAAGATAAGATAAGATAAGATAAGATAAGATAAGATAAGATAAGATAAGATAACCTTTATTAGTCCCACACGTGGGAAATTTGTTTTGTCACAGCAGGAAGTGGACAGTGCAAAAGTTATATAGCAAAAATTAGAATACAATAAGAATAAAATACTGTACACAACTGTACAGAATAGAATAAAATACTATATACAGTAGAATAAAATAGAATAAAATATACAATAGGATAAAAATAGAATACAAATGCTGTATACAACTGAGTAAAGGAGTGGGCCTTCTACTCCAAACAAACGACCTGAGTCTCCGCAGCAGGTACAGCCTGCTCTGCCCTTTCCTGGGCGTCTGAGTTATGAGTCCCCAGTCCAGTCTATTGTTCAGATGAACACCAAGGTACCTGTAGCTGTCCACAGCCTCAATGTCCATACCTTGGATGTTCAGTGGTTGCAGTGGAGGATGTTTGTGCCTGCGGAAGTCTACCACCAGTTCCTTGGTTTTACTGGCGTTGATCTGGAGGTAGTTCAGCTGGCACCAGTCCACAAAGTCTTGGGTCAGTCCTCTGTACTCCCTGTCGTCCCCATCAGTGATGAGGCCGACTATTGCAGAGTCATCAGAGAACTTCTGCAGGAAGCACTGGGTGGAATTGTGGGAGAAGTCTGCAGTGTAGATGGTGAAGAGGAACGGAGCCAGAACCGTTCCCTGTGGGGCCCCCGTACTGCAGACGACCCTGTCCGACACACAGCCCTGAGTCCTCACATACTGTGGTCGGTCGGTGAGGTAGTCCAGAATCCAGGTAGTGAGGTGATGGTCCACTCCTGAGTTCTCCAGCTTGTCCTTCAGAACCGAGGGAAGAATAGTGTTGAAGGCACTGGAGAAATCAAAGAACTGATTCTCACAGTGCTTCCAGCGGTCTCCAGGTGAGCGAGGGAACGATGTAAATGGTAAATGGCCTGTATTTGTATAGCGCTTTACTAGTCCCTAAGGACCCCAAAGCGCTTTACACATCCAGTCATCCACCCATTCACACACACATTCACACACTGGTGATGGCAAGCTACATTGTAGCCACAGCCACCCTGGGGCGCATTGACAGAGGCGAGGCTGCCGGACACTGGAGCCACCGGGCCCTCTGTAGGAGGTGAATGACGGCATCATCCGCTCCAATGCCAGGCTGGTAGGCAAACTGAAGTGGGTCCAGTGATGAGCTCACCAGGTGCCGAAGCTGAGCCAGGACCAGCCGCTCCAGGGTCTTCATCAGGTGGGATGTCAGAGCCACCGGCCCATAGCTGTTGAGGTCCTTGACGCATGAAGTCTTTGGCACTGGTACAACACAGGAGGTTTTCCTATCACATGTCCGGCATGACCTGCCCGAAACCGGAAGTGACGTCATTTTGCGGAAATGTAGTTTTTTACCATCGTGGCCTTATGAGCCTATACTTGTGTTTTTAAAAGTTATGTTTGACTTTATGACTTTCTGTGTCGTTTCTGGGATGCTAGGACTCATATTGCACTGCTGGAAATATTTTATTTTGATGCATATGCTGTTATTTTGCAAATTTGCACTATAATATATTTTTTTTTTCCTGCAGTATATGAAAATTGGTGTATCTCAAAAATAAAACTATGAAGACACTTAAAATAAATTTCCTTTGGTGGGAAACTAGTTTGTGCAACTTTTTTGTATTTACAGTTTTGAGGGATAAGCCTCTTAAATTTCTCTAACTAGAAATATATGTTAAAAAATCAAAAACGATTTTCAATTTTTTTGTAGTTTATTGCACTTTTTTGCAATTTATGTAATTACTATGCACTTAATGCAGACATATTATTAAAATTTGGGCTATAATGGTTGTATTGATGTATAGCAA